TACAGTATTACATAAATTCTTTCATTAAAACTAATAAGATCACGATAAGAACGTACATTTTAGGTATCCCTGTATATGAAAATAACACGAACCTTTTTTCGATCGTCATGTTTACGCAGGTGTAAATAAAGGCAACTCAGATGTTATAATCCTATTACTGGGAAATTAGTCTTCTTGCAGTGGATATAGGCCTATGTATGAGCTAAGATAATATTCATAATAATTCACATAGGCCTATGCATTTCCTTGTCAACTTTGATATGTATAGGAGTGTTTGGTACATCCTTGACCTACCCCTGGCTCTCTCCTCTCCTCCTTGACCTACCCCTGGCTCTCTCCTCTCCTCCTTGACCTACCCCTGGCTCTCTCCTCTCCTCCTTGACCTACCCCTGGCTCTCCCTCCCTCCTGACCTACCCCTGACTCTCTCCTCTCCTCCTTGACCTACCCCTGACTCTCCTCTCCTCCCTGACCTACCCCCGCTCTCCCTCTCCTCCTTGACCTACCCCTGGCTCTCCCTCCTCCTTGACCTACCCCTGACTCTCCCTCTCCTCCCTTGACCTACCCCTGTCTCTCCTCTCCTCCTTGACCTACCCCTGACTCTCTCTCCTCTCCCCTTCTTGACCTACCCCGACTCTCTCCCTCTCCTCCTTGACCTACCCCTGGCTCTCCCTCTCCTCCCTGACCTCCCCCCCCTGGCTCTCTCCCTCCTTGACCTACCCCTGGCCTCTCCCCTCCCTCCTTGACCTACCCTGGCTCTCCCTCCCTTGACCTACCCCTGGCTCTCCTCTCCCTCCCCACCTACCCTGCTTCTCCTCTTCTCCTTCTGACCTACCCCTGGCTCTCTCCTCTCCTCCTTGACCTACCCCCTGGCTCTCTCCTCTCCCTCCTTGACCTACCCCTGGCTCTCTCCCTCCTTGACCTACCCCCTGCTCTCTCCTCTCCCCTGACCTACCCCTGGCTCTCCTCTCCTCCTTGACCTACCCCTGGCTCTCTCCTCTCCTCCTTGACCTACCCCTGGCTCTCTCCTCTCCTCCTTGACCTACCCCTGGCTCTCCTCCTCCTCCTGACCTACCCCTGGCTCTCTCCCTCTCCTCCTTGACCTACCCCTGGCTCTCCCTCTCCTCCTCCCTGACCTACCCCTGCCTCTCCCTCTCCTCCTGGATCTACCCCTGGCCTCTCTCCTCTCCTCCTTGACCTACCCCCCACTCTCCCTCCTCTCTCCTCCCTGACCTACCCCCTGGCTCTCTCTCTCCTCTCCTCCTGACCTACCCCTGGCTCTCCTCCCTCTCCCTGACCTACCCCTGGCTCTCTCCTCCTCCCTTGACCTACCCCTGGCTCTCTCCTCTCCTCCTCCTGACCTACCCCCTGGCTCTCCTCTCCTCCTTGACCTACCCCCTGGCTCTCCCTCCTCCTGACCTACCCCCTGCCTCTCCTCCTTGACCTACCCCTGACTCTCCTCTCCTCCTTGACCTACCCCTGCTCTCCCTCCTCCTTGACCTACCCTGGCTCTCTCCTCTCCCCTTGACCTACCCCTGGCTCTCTCCTCTCCTCCTTGACCTACCCCTGGCTCTCTCCTCCCTCCTTGACCTACCCTGGCTCTTCCTCTCCCTCCTGACCTACCCCTGGCTCTCTCCTCCTCTCCTCCTTGATCTACCCCTGGCCTCCCTCCTTGACCTACCCCTGGCTCTCTCCTCTCCTCCTGACCTACCCCTGGCTCTCTCCCTCCTCCCTTGACCTACCCCTGGCTCTCTCCTCTCCTCCCTGAGCCTACCCCTGGCTCTCTCCTCTCCTCCTTGACCTACCCCTGGCTCTCTCCCTCCTCCTTGACCTACCCCTGGCTCTCCCTCTCTCCTCCTTGACCTACCCCTGGCTCTCTCCCTCTCCTCCTGACCTACCCCTGGCTCTCTCTCCCTCCTCCTTGACCTTCCCCTGGCTCTCCTCTCCTCCTTGACGCACCCCCTGGCTCTCTCCTCCTCCTGACCTACCCGGCTCTCCTCTCCTCCTTGACCTACCCCTGGCTTCTCCTCTCTCTCCTTGACCTACCCGGCTCTCTCCCTCTCCTCCTTGACCTACCCCTGGCTCTCCCCCTCCCTTGACCTACCCCTGGCTCTCTCCTCTCCTCCTGACCTACCCCTGGCTCTCCTCTCCTCCTTGACTCACCCCTGGCTCTCCTCTCCCCTTGACCTACCCCTGGCTCTCTCCTCCCTCCTTGACCTACCCTGGCTCTCCCTCCCTCCTGACCTACCCCTGGCTCTCCCTCCCTCCTGACCTACCCCTGGCCTCTCCCTCTCCCTCCTTGGACCTACCCCTGGCTCTCTCCCCTCCTCCCTGACCTACCCCTGGCTCTCTCCTCTCCTCCCTTGACCTACCCCTGGCTCTCCTCTCTCTCCCTTGACCTACCCCTGGCTCTCTCCTCTCCTCCTCGACCTACCCCTGGCTCTCTCCCTTCTCCTTGACCTACCCCGGCTCTCTCTCTCCTCTCCTCCTCCTGACCTACCCTGGCTCTCTCCTCTCCTCCCTGACCTTCCCCCTGGCTCTCTCCTCTCCTCCTCCTGACCTACCCCTGGCTCTCTCCTCTCCTCCTTGACCTACCCCTGGCCTCCTCTCCTCCTGACCTACCCCTGGCTCTCTCCCTCCCTCCTGACCTACCCTGGCTCTCTCCCTCCTCCTTGACCTACCCCTGGCTCTCTCCTCTCCTCCTTGACCCACCCCTGGCTCTCTCCCTCTCCCTCCTTGACCTACCCCTGGCTCTCCTCTCCTCCTTGACCCCTGGCTCTCTCTCTCTCCTCCTCTGACCTACTCCCCTGCTCTCTCCCTCTCCTCCTGACCTACCCCTGGCTCTCTCCTCCTCTCCTCCTGACCTACCCCTGGCTCTCTCCTCTCCTCCTTGACCTACCCCTGGCTCTCTCCTCCTCCTGACCTACCCCTGGCTCTCTCCTCCCTGACCTACCCTGGCTCTCTCTACTCCTGACCTACCCCTGGCTCTCCCCTCTCCTCCTGACCTACCCTGGCTCTCCCTCCTCCCCTACCTACCCTCCTCTCTCCCTCCTGACCCACCCTGGCTCTCCTCTCCTCCTGACTCCCTGGCTCTCTCCTCTCCTCCTTGACCTACCCCTGGCTCTCCTCTCCTCCTGACCTACCCCCGGCTCTCCTCTCCTCCTGAATCTACCCCTGGCTCTCTCTCCTCCTCCTGACCTACCCTGGCTCTCTCTCCTCTCCTCCTCTGGACCTACCCCTGGCTCTCTTTCTCCCCCTTGACCTACCCTCGACCCTCTCCCTCCCCTTGACCTACCCCTGACCTCTCTCTTCTCCCTCCTTGACCTACCCCTGGCTCTCCCTCCCTCCTTGACCCCCCCAGGCTCTCCTCTCCTCCTGACCTACCCTGACCTCTCCTCTCCCTCCTGACCTACCCCTGGCTCTCTCCTCTCCTCCCTGACCTACCCCTGGCTCTCTCCCTCCTCCTGACCTAACCCTGGCTCTCCTCTCCTCCTTGACCTAACCCCTGGCTCTCCTCTCCCTCCTGACCTACCCCTGGCTCTCTCTCCTCCTCCTGACCTACCTCTCTCTCTCTCCTCTCCTCCCTTGACCTACCCCTGGCTCTCTCCCTCCTACACCCCCTGGCTCTCTCTCCCTCCCCCTTGACCTACCCCTGACTCTCTCCTCTCCTCCTTGACCTACCCCTGGCTCTCTCTCTCCTCCCTCCTTGACCTACCCCTGCCTCCTCTCCTCCTCCTGACTACCCCTGGCTCTCTCCTCTCCTCCTTGACCTAACCCTTGGCTCTCACCTCTACAACTCCCTCAACCTGACGTGCCCTTCAGTTTCCCGTAGTTTACACCACAGTCGAGTACCTAAGTTCCTACTACTTCACCCAGCCAACTGAGTTCCCATCGACACACCTACATCACCTGACAACATTTTAACGCCTATCCAAGATACTATAAATTTATTAGAGATTAATAAGGAAATTAGTTTAAAACATTTCATAATTTTTTAACAAGTTTTTGAGGTATTTTAACAACTCAAACCTAAACTAACAAATATTATTCGTTTGTGGAATATTTATATTGTAGATTATGGTAAGTGTTTGTGTGCGATACATAGACCTGCCTTAATATTTACTTTATAACACACATCCCTAAATAATGGTGAAGTGTGTACATCTAGAACAACACATCACAATATATAAAAATCTGTTCCACACATCCACAAATAATGGTGAAGTGTGTACATGGAAAACAACACATCACAAAATATAAAAACCTGTTCCACACATCCCTAAATATCGGTAGAGTGTGTTAATAATGAAAGATATGCAAGGGGCTGTTTCACATCTGCAATATCAAAGCAATAATTCCTTAACAATCATCTTGCTGTATAAAAAACCTCGATAAATTAATAAAAAAAAATGTCAAAAATAAAATAAAATATAAAATTCCTAATAAGTATGAAATAATGATGACAAACCCGTGATGCGTCCCACAAACACACACACACAAGATGAGGTAATGCCTAGGTCTTCCCCCGGCAGGAGAAGACAACAGATGGAGAGACACAACAGAGATCGTTCAAAGGTGACAGAGTGGATGTACAGTTACGGACACTAGAACAGTTATTTCTAAGGTAACGTAGAACACCCATCAGTTACCTTATAAATAATAATTAACTAACCACTTCGAGAAAGATGTTACAATATATATTTTTTTTTTGGGGGGGAGGGAGAGTGAATAATGTTAATGCATTCATGAAAACAATTACCCTAACTGAGCCAGAAGGAGAAATGAGATGATGCATATTTAACATCCATAGCAAATACACACAATATATTCACATTCTTTTGAATATATAATACAATAAGAGTATTAATTAAATATACAAACAGATCAAAGATATTATTATTATTTATCACTCCTATCTCTCATAATAACCAATAAAAAAAACAATTAAGGATTTTAAAACTAAGATGTGGTCGGTTGTGTTAATACGTCAATTACACCGTACCTGGTCAGAGGCAGGCGACTTGCAGCGTTGTTGTTCCTCCTCTTTGGAAGATTCTGTCCGCTTGGGGATTCGGGGAACACGCTGGTATGGGTCAGCCTCGTACAGCTCTGGGGTCCCCATGTTTAGGAGACACGATTTGGCGATATAGTCGAAACTACTAACCCGCTCTCGTTCCCGTAGGACAAACTGTAGGATAGGAACACTGTAAGGCTAACTGTAGGATAGGAACACTGTAAGGCTAACTGTAGGATAGGAACACTGTAAGGCTAACTGTAGGATAGGAACACTGTATAACTGAGATAGGAACACTGTGGCTAACTGTAAGATAGGAACACTGTAAGGCTAACTGTAGGATAGGAACACTGTAAGGCTAACTGTAGGATAGGAACACTGTAAGGCTAACTGTAGGATAGGAACACTGTAAGGCTAACTGTAGGATAGAACACTGTAAGGCTAACTGTAGGATAGGAATACTGTAAGGCTAACTGTAGGATAGGAACACTGTAAGGCTAACTGTAGGATAGGAACACTGTAAGACTAACTGTAGGATAGAACACTGTAAGGCTAACTGTAGGATAGGAATACTGTACTAAAGAAACACGTAAGGCTAACTGTGATAGAACATTGTAAGTCTAACTGTAGGATAGGAACACTGTAAGGCTAACTGTAGGATAGGAACACTGTAAGGCTAACTGTAGGATAGGAACACTGTAAGGCTAACTGTAGGATAGGAACACTGTAAGGCTAACTGTAGGATAGGAACACTAAGGCTAACTGTAGATAGGAACACCTGTAAGGCTAACTGTAGGATAGGAACACTGTAAGGCTAACTGTAGGATAGAACACTGTAAGGCTAACTGTAGGATAGGAACACTGTAAGGCTAACTGTGATAGAACACTGTAAGGCTAACTGTAAGATAGAACACTGTAAGACTAACTGTATAGGAACAATGTTAACTGAGGATAGGAACACTGTAAGACTAACTGTAGGATAGGAACACTGTAAGGCTAACTGTAGGATAGGAACACTGTAAGGCTAACTGTAGGATAGGAACACTGTAAGGCTAACTGTAGGATAGGAACACTGTAAGGCTAACTGTAGATAGGAACACTGTAAGGCTAACTGTAGGATAGGAACACTGTAGGGCTAACTGTAGGATAGGAACACTGTGGCTAACTGTAGGATAGGAACACTGTAAGGCTAACTGTAGGATAGAACACTGTAAGGCTAACTGTAGGATAGAACACTGTAAGTCTAACTGTAAGATAGGAACACTGTAAGGCTAACTGTAGGATAGGAACACTGTAAGGCTAACTGTAGGATAGAACACTGTAAGTCTAACTGTAAGATAGAACACTGTAAGGCTAACTGTAGGATAGAACACTAAGGCTAACTGTAGGATAGGAACACTGTAAGGCTAACTGTAGGATAGGAACACTGTAAGGCTAACTGTAGGATAGGAACACTGTAAGTCTAACTGTAGGATAGAACACTGTAAGGCTAACTGGATAGAACACTGTGCAACTGTAGGATAGAACACGTGCTAACTGTAGGATAGGAACACTGTAAGGCTAACTGTAGGATAGGAACACTGTAAGGCTAACTGTAGGATAGGAACACTGTAAGGCTAACTGTAGGATAGGAACACTGTAAGGCTAACTGTAGGATAGGAACACTGTAAGGCTAACTGTAGGATAGGAACACTGTAAGGCTAACTGTAGGATAGGAACACTGTAAGGCTAACTGTAGGATAGGAACACTGTAAGGCTAACTGTAGGATATAGGAACACTGTAAGACTAACTGTAGGATAGGAACACTGTAAGGCTAACTGTAGGATAGGAACACACTGTGCTAACTGTAGGATAGAACACTGTAAGGCTAACTGTAGGATAGGAACACTGTAAGACTAACTGTAGGATAGGAACACTGTAAGGCTAACTGTAGGATAGAAACACTGTAAGGCTAACGAGGATAGAACACTGTAACAAAACAAACAAAAAACCAGCTAACTGTAGATAGAACACTGTAAGACTAACTGTAAGATAGAACAAGACTAACTGTAGGATAGGAACACTGTAAGACTAACTGTAGGATAGGAACACTGTAAGACTAACTGTAGGATAGAAACCGTAAGACAACTGTGATAGAACACTGTAAGACTAACTGTAAGATAGAACACTGTAAGACTAACTGGGATAGGAACACTGTAAGGCTAACTGTAAGATAGGAACACTGTAAGTCTAACTGTAGGATAGAACACTGTAAGGCTAATGTAAGATAGAACACTGTAAGACTAACTGTAGGATAGAACACTGTAAGACTAACTGTAAGATAGGAACACTGTAAGACTAACTGTGATAGGAACACTGTAAGACTAACTGTAAGATAGGAACACTGTAAGACTAACTGTAGGATAGGAACACTGTAAGACTAACTGTAAGATAGAACACTGTAAGACTAACTGTAGGATAGGAACACTGTAAGACTAACTGTAAGATAGGAACACTGTAAGACTAACTGTAGGATAGAACACTGTAAGGCTAACTTTAAGATAGGAACACTGTAAGACTAACTGTAGGATAGAACACTGTAAGGCTAACTGTAAGATAGGAACACTGTAAGACTAACTGTAGGATAGAACACTGTAAGGCTAACTGTAAGATAGGAACACTGTAAGACTAACTGTAGGATAGAACACTGTAAGACTAACTGTAAGATAGGAACACTGTAAGACTAACTGTAGGATAGGAACACTGTAAGACTAACTGTAAGATAGAACACTGTAAGACTAACTGTAGGATAGGAACACCGTAAGACTAACTGTAAGATAGGAACACTGTAAGACTAACTGTAGGATAGAACACTGTAAGACTAACTGTAGGATAGAACACTGTAAGGCTAATTGTAGATAGAACACTCTAAGGCTAACTGTAGGATAGAACACTCAAGGCTAACTGTAGGATAGAACACTGTAAGCTAACTGTAGGATAGAACACTGTAAGTCTAACTGTAAGATAGGAACACTGTAAGGCTAACTGTAGGATAGAACACTGTAAGGCTAACTGTAGGATAGGAACACTGTAAGGCTAACTGTAAGATAGGAACACTGTAAGGCAACTGTAGGATGAACACTGTAAGGCTAACTGTAGGATAGGAACACTGTAGGCTAACTGTAGATAGGAACACTGTAAGACTAACTGTAGGATAGGAACACTGTAAGTCTAACTGTAAGATAGGAACACTGTAAGGCTAACTGTAGGATAGGAACACTGTAAGGCTAATTAAGACTTACGGTACCTTGACAGTGTAGGTATACAAACATTATACAGGTGTCCCTTGATTTACGATCTTTCTATGATGTAAATAATGTGCATTAACTATGGTCATCATAATGCTAACATGGAACGCATCTTTCAGCTTTATTTTCTCTTGCCAGCTGAGATCTCCCCTATAATGTGGCCATCCGGAGCTGAGATCTCCCCTATAATGTGGCCATCCGGAGCGAGAGATCTCCCCTATAATGTGGCCATCTGGAGCTGAGATCTCCCCTATAATGTGGCCATCTGAGCTGAGATCTCCCCTATAAAGTGGCCATCCGGAGCTGAGATCTCCCCTATAATGTGGCCATCTGGAGCTGAGATCTCCCCTATAATGTGGCCATCTGGAGCTGAGATCTCCCCTATAAAGTGGCCACCCGGATACGATCTCCCCTTATAACGTGGCCACCTGGTGCACTACAGTACCAAGCTTTGTTCCACGCTATAATTATCAGTCAAGTGTGAGGAGATCACTCTTGTTGCTCTGGTTTATGACTGTGACGTAAGCAGTGTGAGAAGGCCAAGGCACTTATGGTAACCGTGTTCCTGAGGTGATGCTTGATACTATAAACAGACTCCCCAGAGGCTGTGAGGGAGTCTAAGTCACATCTCCGCTCCAAGACTCCCATTATCCCTGGCAAGGGGGGGTCACGTAATGATGACCTGGCTTGTTAATAAGTGTTGTAGAAGTTGTTATATTATTAGTGATGGAATTTTCTGAAACATAACCCCATCGTAAATAGCGGGGCACCTATAGACAGTGTAGGTATACAAGCAATGGTCAACAAGACAGTCACTAGATGCTTATTACTATCATTTAACAAGCATTACTATCATTTAACAACCATTAACTACTTAACAACCATGAACTATACTCACAGCCCATAAGAGGAGTTGATGGAGAGCGCTGTAATGACCCCAGGCGGTTCACCCTCCACCCAGGGCGTAAGGCAGACCAAATCGGCCTGGAATCCTGACGCCCTCTTTTGCTGACCACTCCTCAACGGTATGGGTGTGAAATAATCCAGCGACGGCTATAAGACATGACTGTATTAGTTCCCCCAGCACTGAGTTGTTGTTTATTATGGATAGAATATCTCACGGTGAATTATATCAACACCATTCAATAGTTACTTAGATAAATCACTTTTTTTTTTTTAATTAGTAAGGTTGGTAGCCATGTTAGCTGGTTCCCTGATGTGTGTAAATAACAGGTATGTTTACTATACCTTGAAGGATAGCATCTGATTGGCTTATTCATTAACCAATAAAATTCCAGGAAATAAATCTTATTTCTCTGAGACACCTAATGATAAAGACTCAGTATTAAACAGTAATATACCTGTTGTATTTTGGTAGCAGACGACAGGGTACCAGTTTAGTGTACTATGTGAGACAGACGTACAGTGTAAATCTTCACCTGTTGGGCTGTATTGAGAGGGGTTGTCTGTTAGATATGTACGTCCATCTAACAGCCAATGAGAGGGGTGCTGTTAGGTATGTACGTCCATCTAACAGCCAATAAACCACAGCCGGGGGTTCCACTATGGTACCAATGACCCCAATGTTACTTTATGTTAAATTATCCACCACAAGTGTGATAGATTAAGGTGGGATTTACGCAATATTATGATCAAGGTTAAATAAGTTATATTTATTAAATATGATGCGTGTGTTTGGGTTCAATAGATCGCTTCATACTTCACGTGCAACGACTAAAATTATTTGTTTATTTTTAGTAAGACTGAGAAACAACAGTCGTGGATCGCTTCATAGTCAACGTGCAACGACTAAAATGATTGGTTTATTTTTAGTAAGACTGAGAAACAACAGTCGTGGATCGCTTCATACCCAACGTGCAACGACTAAAATAATTTGTTTATTTTTAGTAAGACTGAGAAACAACAGTCGTGATAGAGAGAGAGATGGAAGAATTAACACAGGCAGTAGTGTTTCAAGGAGATAATTTATTTCTCTAGACTCTGAGCTACCAAAATAGATCTAGCGTCATCATGCGGACTTGCTGTTGCTAAGTTTGGCTACGGAGACTGGCTAGATAAATCCACACGTCTACTAATGATAAAATCTAGTTTAGGGTCACTACGAGGTTCTTAGATATTTTTGTAATGTTTTTTTTATGTGGTTGGTGACGCAGGGCTCACACTGAGGGTCTATTAAACTCACCGATATTTACTAATTAACGAATAAAACACACAAAAATCCAACTTGAGTTTATGATACAAGTTTAGGGAAATATTTCTCATTGTTAAAAGTCGCTATTTTTTTTTCGTTCATTAGTGTATAAAATAAAGGACTGAAATGACGTGTTTGGGAAGAAAAAAAAACTGCAAAAAGAAAAACTAAACTGAAAAAATGAAAACTATGAAAAAATGAAACTATGAAAAAAAAATTAAAAACTATGAAAAAAAATTCTAAACTGGAAAACAAAAATCGGCAGCAAGAGACCCATCAGGCCTTAGGAGCCATTCAACCACACCACCAAACTCTACGTCACTCCTAAAACCACCAAACGAGCACTCTACTTTCCTGTAGATGGAAGGATAACATGAGGAGTTACCCATCAAACACTCTAGGATGCAGCAGTCACCATCGACACTACCACAACACCATGGGAACACAGGAGAGAGGGTTCAGGGCTTCTCCACATCAAACCAACCAATACCTACTCCCTTTTTCCTTCTATTATTCTGACTCTGACTGACGCCCTTCTTATCACAGCTCTTTTTATCTGACGTTTCCCCGCCCGTTGAGGTGTGGAGGGGGCTGTGGGCTACCTGTAGTGTGGGGCGAGGTGGGAACTCAGACTCCGGGGAACAATCGCCTGACTCAGACCTCAGATACGGCGGGAATCTCCAGACACTGTGAGGGGGTAGAAGAGCCTAGAATGGTATTACTATTATTACTACTGCTATTATTACAACTATTATTACTACTACTACTATTACTACTACAACAATTATTATTACTACAACAATTATTACTAATACTATTATTATTACTACAACTATTATGACTACTACAGTACTATTATTACTACAACTATAATTACTTCTTTTTTTTTAACGTGGCCTCCAGCCTCCCTAATAGCCACACCTTCGCCACCATTTTATTACCTTAATATTAAATATCCTAATACATAAGTAACTATCCTAACTGTGTTGAGTTAGTTGAGCCGCAGATCTATGCAGCATTCAGTGACTGTTGCCTCATAGTCAATATCTGCAACTGTTGTCGGCTTTGGGGCCGATGTTCTCGCTCTGAGGCAGAGCAAAGCCGACCTAAGGAGAGAGAAGGACAGTCATCCAGGCTGTAACATAACTTCTGGGCTGCCGCTTCTGTTTCGATAACACTCATGAGTCTGGCGAGAAACATCTTGCACTTGGGCCCATCCCACCAGAGGTTGTGAACACTAGAGGAGTGAAGCTGCCTTGATCAACGCTCTGAATTCTCTCCCCAGATGCCCTTATCTTGTCGTTCCGTTCCTCCTGTGCAGCACGAGCAGTTACGGTGACATGCGCCATGGGATCAAAAAATCTGATGTCAAAGAAGGCTCCTGTCCCCGGCCCACAATCTCGAGCACTGACGCCAACACGGGCTTCAGATGTGTTTGAAGTCCTGTGACGGAGGTTCTCACCGTCCAATGGAAGGAGGGTCTATTCTACCCTCACATCGTGGCAGATTTCCCTCACTAGATTTGCTGTTAGATCCCTTACTATTACCACTACTATAACTACTATTACTACTTCTACTACTACTACTGGTAACAACAAAAAAGAATGACTTATATCACAGCAGTTAAAATTAAATTATAACACTAAAAAAAGAGAGAGAGAAAGAGAGAGAGAGAGGACGGAAATGAGAGAGAGAGAGAGAGAGAGATAGAAGAAGAAAGTGAGAGAGAAAGAAGGAGGAAAAGAGAGAAAAAAAAAACACCTCAGCCAACTATCTCCCAAACACACAAACACCAGAGACAACCCCCCCAAAAAAAAACCCCACAAAAACAAAACAATAATTACGGGAATTCTACGACAGTCTCTTGTTTGGAGTATTTAAAGAGTATGACGTGGGCGGTGGCTCCGGCAATACACAGCAGCCTCGACTCGGGACACAGGAAGAGGTGATGGCAACGATCTCATCGCGACGATCGCTCGAGTCCCATGTTTCTCAACACTTTCGCTGTTTTGAGTTTGTAAAGTATCTGTAGGCTGACAGAAGAGGCGTCCCAGAATTTGATAGCGCAATCACGGCGTGTCTGTAAATTTCACAATTAGGAGTTTGTGGATTCAATGGAGTTAAGATATTAGATGACATTTATGGGGGGTTTATTAACTAGTCATACATACATACATACATGATACATACATACATACATACATGATACATACATACATACATACATACATACATACATGATACATACATACATACATACATATATACATACATACATACATACATACACACTCCTTGTAACTAAAGCATGTTAGAATATCGATTACTTTTGTTGGTTTATAGCATCTTCCTTATTCTGATTATAGGGTTAGGTTAGGTTAAGTCAGGTCAGGTCATAGGTCAGGTTAGGCCAGTAATATCCTCACCCTGTTATGATCATCTCTGTGAGTTAGGTCAGGTCATAGGTCAGGTCATACCAGCAATATCCTCACCCTGTTATGATCATCTCTGTAGGTTAGGTCAGGTAGGTCAGGTCAGTCATAGATCAGGTCAGATCATCCTGGTCAGGTTAGGTCATAGGTCAGGTCAGGTCAGGTCATAGGTCAGGTCCCCGAATATCCTCACCCTGTTATGATCATCTCTGCGTAGCTACAGACGCACCCCATTTCCCCCCGCATATGGGCCAGGCCTTCTCACTAAAACCCTGCCTCTTCTGGCCACGGGCGCCGACGGAATAGAACGCCGGAATGAGGTCTGCGGGACAGTCTGCGAGGTACGTACAGCAGGTGACGGGTGACTCGTGTAGATCCATTGAGTAGGGGTTTTCAAAGCACGGGTAACCTTGAGAGTGAAGATCAACCACCACGAGGTCATTGTGAAGCAGAACAACGAGGGCGTAAGGCTCAGCGAAATCTGTAATGGACGTTGTGTGTTAGTTGCTGACGTTAGGAGAAGCGTCAGCAGTAATCCCCCATCAGGCTCGGAAAAATCTGTAATGGATGTTGTGTGTTAGTGGCTGACGTTAGGAGAAGCGTCAGCAGTAATCCCCCATCAGGCTCGGAAAAATCTGTAATGGACGTTGTGTGTTAGTTGCTGACGTTAGGAGAGGAGTCAGCAGTAATCCCCCATCAGGCTCGGAAAAATCTGTAATGGACGTTGTTAGTGGCTGACGTTAGGAGAAGCATCAGCAAGAATCTAATGGAGTTCAGAGACTCTTAATGCTACGATGGATGTGTTCTAACCTAATCACTGGACCCCAAGCTATCCACTCATCCACACACACTCATCCACACACACCATCCACAACATCCACTTGTCTCACAGATCCCAACACACACACACACACACGCACACTATGCAGGAGACTATGTACCCAGCCCTTTTAGACCATATTGTACATTAATATATCAAATTGGTGTAAACTAATAAGGTGTGTGTAGCAGGAATGTGTTTAATTAAAATGAAAGGGAAACAGTTATGTAATTTTGAAGTCTTGTTTGTGGGTCGGATGTGGGTTGGATGTTGGTCGGATGTGGGTGTGGATGTGAGTGTGGATGTGGGTTATGGTACAAAATACTCTTTCATGTGAGAAATAACATTGTTGAAAGGTTAATATACAAAGTAATAGTAAAGTGCTATGATAACAAGTAGAAATATCCATACATACTTGTTCTCACACACACACAGTATACCTACACTGTCTAGGTCTGGTGAAAATAACACCTGTTGTATTTGTATTTTTTTTTAACCAATTGTAAACATGAATATTGAGTTTACTAAATGATTATTATTACTATTGTTTTGTTATAATTATTATTATTATTATTATTATTATTATTATTATTATTATTATTATTATTATTATTATTATTATTATTACCCTCATCACCACAATCACCACCGTCACCGTCACCACCCTCACCACCACCGTCACCACAATATTAAAGAGATCAGGTTAACTCACCGCTGGCATAAGGAGTCTCACACAAGGTAGCAAAATCAACCACATTGTGTTCCATCTCAAGTACTGTAGTAGTCTTGCCGTGAATCACCGTTATGCTCGGGGTCCTTCCGGCTCTGTCATTGGTCAGTCCTCCGGAGAAAATCACGAAGGATTCCCTGTAGGAGAAATGTTTACGTTATAGATGGGGTGAAATTTTTTAAACATTGAGGGTTGGTGACTACGGCCCTCAGAATATTGTGTAAAAAATGACATTAACATCAACCCTCCCACCTCCATCTTGGTAACCTCACCCTGTACACACCTACACCCTGTTACTACACCCATGACACACCCTGTACACACCTACACCCTGTACACACCCACACCCTGTTACTACACCCATGACACACCCTGTACACACCTACACCCTGTTACTACACCCATGACACACCCTGTACACACCCACACCCTGTTACTACACCCATGACACACCCTGTACACACCTACACCCTGTTACTACACCCATGACACACCCTGTACACACCTACATCCTGTTACTACACCCATGACACACCCTGTACACACCTACACCCTGTTACTACACCCATGACACACCCTGTACACACCTACACCCTGTTACTACACCCATGACACACCCTGTACACACCTACACCCTGTTACTACACCCATGACACACCCTGTACACACCTACACCCTCTTGATACACCCATGACACACTGTTACTACACCCATAACACACCTGTACACACCTACACCCTGTTACTACACCCATGACACACCCCTGTAACACACTCTACACCTCTGTTGATACACTCCATGACACACCCTGTACACACCCACACCCTGTTACTACACCCATGACACACCCTGTACACACCTACACCCTGTTACTACACCCATGACACACCCTGTACACACCCACACCCTGTTACTACACCCATGACACACCCTGTACACCCACACACCTGTTACTACACCCAGACACACCCTGTACACACCCACCCTGTTACTACACCCATGACACACCCTGTACACACCTACACCCTGTTACTACACCCATGACACACCCTGTACACACCTACACCCTGTTACACCCACGACACACCCTGTACACACCTACACCCTGTTACTACACCCATGACACACCTGTACACCTACACCCTGTTATACACCCATGACACACCCTGTACACACCTACACCCTGTTACTACACCCCATGACACACCCTGTACACACCCCACCTGTTACTACACCCATGACACACCCTGTACACACCTACACCCTGTTACTACACCCATGACACCCCTGTACACACCCACACCCTGTTACTACACCCAGACACACCCTGTACACACCTACACCCGTTACTACACCCATGACACACCTGTACACACCTACACCCTGTTACTACACCCAGCACACCTGTACACACCTACACCCTGTTACTACACCCATGACACCCTGTACACACACCTACACCTGTTACTACACCCCATGACACACCCTGTACACACCTACACCTGTTACTACACCCATGACACACCCTGTACACCCCACCCTGTTACTACACCCATGACACACCTACACCCTGTTGATACACTTACCCAGATTTGCTACACTTCCATTCAACCTTCTGGATGGACTTACAAGGCTCCTGCTTCCCTTCCTTATTTGTTTTGGCTGGAAAGAAAAATATAAAGTATTAGGTGTTTGGTTAGGTTAGGTTAGGTTAGGTTAGGGTTGAGTTAGGTTGGGTTAGGTTGGAGTTAGGTGTTTGGTTAGGATTAGTTGGTATTTTTTGGTAATCTGGTTGGATTATATGCATTACTATACATATATACATGCAAGTAAATCACTGTAGGTGCTCGTGATCAGGTATATGCTGATAACCACAAGGAAGAAAGAAAACACGAAGTTCCCAAGCGCTTCGTGTAATTCACATCTTCAGGGGTGAGTACAGACTAAAGGGAGATACAAAACAAAGGTGTATATATACAGAGGAGGGTGAGGTCAGTCCACAATGGTCAGGTATTAGGTAATGACCCTACTAATTTTCAAAAGCACCGCAGCAGTCGGTAGTCAGGTCAGAAGGTAAGCTGACCCAACCTTCTCACCTGGTTACAAATCTTCTTCATTACGAAATTATCCAGTTTGGTATGTACACACACACACACACACACAAACACACACACACACACACACACACACACACACACACACACACACACACACACACACACACACCATGAAATATAAATGAAGGCTTGGGACTAGTTTGTGACAGCCAGGTGGTGAGAGAGTCATCTGTGCAGACACACACACACACACACACACACACACACACACACACACACACACACACACACACACACTCACCATGGGAAATATAACAGATGAAGGCTTGGGACTAGTTTGCTTGACAGCCCAGGTGGTGAGAGAGTCATCTGTACGGGAACACATACACACACACACACAGACACACACACACACACACACACACACACACACACACACACACACACACACACACACACACACACACACACACACACACACACTCACCATGGGGAAATATAACAGATGAAGGCTTGGGACTAGTTTGTGACAGCCAGGTGGTGAGAGAGCCATCTGTACCGGAACACACACACACACACACACACACACACACACACACACACACACACACACACACACACACACATACACTCACCATGGGAAAATATAACAGATGAAGGCTTGGGACTAGTTTGCTTGACAGCCCAGGTGGTGAAGAGTCATCTGTAGGAACACATACACACACACACACACACACACACACACACACACACACACACACACACACACACACACACACACACACACACACACACACACACACACACACACACACACACACATACACTCACCATGGGGAAATATAACAGATGAAGGCTTGGGACTAGTTTGCTTGACAGCCCAGGTGGTGAGAGAGCCATCTGTATGGGAACACATAAACTGCTTCCCTTCATGGTGCCAGCTGACAGACTTGATGGACTCAGCACACTGATAGCGAACTTCTGCCACTCGACTCTTGAGATCCCACACCACCAGCTGACCGCTCTCATACCCAATTAACAGCTGTGGAGAAAGGAAAATGTTATTATGGTAGGCCTATGTTGGGTGGTAGGCCTATGGTATATCTAAGAGAGTTAATATGGTAGGCCTATGGTGTATCTATGTAAGTTATAATGGTAGGCCTATGTTGGGTGGTAGGCCTATGGTGCATCTAAGAAAGTTAATATGGTAGGCCTATGGTGTATCTAAGTTAATATGGTAGGCCTATGGTGTATCTATGTAGTTATGGTATTGAAGCCTATGTTGGGTGGTAGGCCTATGGTGCATCTAGAAAGGTTAATATGATAAGTCTATGGTACAACATATATAAGTTATGGTAGGCCTATGTTGGGTGGCAGACCAATGTAGGATGGTAGGTAGATGTAGGATGGTAGGCCTATATAAGGTAAATTAATAGGGATTAACCTAACCTAACCTAACCTAACCTAACCTAACCAACACCCATCCAGTCTCTAACAAGTAAACACAAATAAAAATGAACAGAGTAAATCAAATGTGGCACAAGACGACCGTAGACTTTCCACTGACATTTAATTTTGACTTTCACGACTTTCTCCCGAATTTCAAGAGAAAGGAAGCCCCATAAAGAACATTAGACAATTAATGGAAAGGAAGTAGCATATTTAATGAAACAGTGAGTCAGTGAGTCATAATTAAGTGAGTCAGTTAGATACGTTCTCACATCACCAGTTAGGAGGAAAACTTAACGTAGGAACCTTTGAGAATCCATCTTTGTGTGGTAGCTTAAGTGAGTCAGTTAGATACGTTCTCACATCACCAGTTAGGAGGAAAACTTAACGTAGGAACCTTTGAGAATCCATCTTTGTGTGGTATCTTAAGTGAGTCAGTTAGATACGTTCTCACATCACCAGTTAGGAGGAAAACTTAACGTAGGAACCTTTGAGAATCCATCTTTGTGTGGTAGCTTAAGTGAGTCAGTTAGATACGTTCTCACATCACAAGTTTGGAGGAAAACTTAACGTAGGAACCTTTGAGAATCCATCTTTGTGTGGTAGCTTAAGTGAGTCAGTTAGATACGTTCTCACATCACCAGTTAGGAGGAAAACTTAACGTAGGTACCTTTGAGAATCCATCTTTGTGTGGTAGCTTAAGTGAGTCAGTTAGATACGTTCTCACATCACCAGTTAGGAGGAAAACTTAACGTAGGAACCTTTGAGAATCCATCTTTGTGTGGTAGCTTAAGTGAGTCAGTTAGATACGTTCTCACATCACCAGTTTGGAGGAAAACTTGACGTAGGAACCTTTGAGAATCCATCTTTGTGTGGTAGCTTAAGTGAGTCAGTTAGATACGTTCTCACATCACCAGTTAGGAGGAAAACTTGACGTAGGAACCTTTGAGAATCCATCTTTGTGTGGTAGCTTAAGTGAGACAGTTAGATACGTTCACACATCACCAGTTAGGAGGAAAACTTAACGTAGGAACCTTTGAGAATCCATCTTTGTGGTAGCTATGAAACAAAGGATACGTTCTCACATCAATTAGTTAGAGGAAAATTTAACGTAGAACCTTTGAGAATCCATCTTTGTGGTAGTTAAGTGAGTCAGTTAGATACGTTCTCACACTCACCAAAGTTAGAGGAAAAACTTGGGTGTAGAACCTTTGAGAATCCATCTTTGTGTGGCTAAGGAGTCAGTTAGACAGCATGCTCCACATCACCAGTTAGAGTGAAAACTTAACGTGAACCTTTTGAGAACTATCTTTGTGTGTAGAAGCCATGAGCTGAAGTTAGATGTTCTCGCATCACCAGTTAGGTGGAAAACTTAACGTAGGAACCTTTGAGAACTATCTTGTGGTGGTAGCTAAGGGAGTCAGTTAGACACGTTTCACATCACCAAAGTTAGGAGGAAAACTTAATCGTAGGAACCCTTTGGAGAATCCATCTTTGTGTGGTAGCTTAAGTGAGTCAGTTAGATACGTTCTCACATCACCAGTTAGGAGGAAAACTTAACGTAGGAACCTTTGAGAATCCATCTGTGTGTGGTAGCTTAAGTGAGTCAATTAGATACGTTCCCACATCACCAGTTAGGAGGAAAACTTAACGTAGGAACCTTTGAGAATCCATCTTTGTGTGGTAGCTTAAGTGAGTCAGTTAGATACGTTCTCACATCACCAGTTAGGAGGAAAACTTAACGTAGGAACCTTTGAGAATCCATCTTTGTGTGGTAGCTTAAGTGAGTCAGTTAGATACGTTCTCACATCACCAGTTAGGAGGAAAACTTAACGTAGGAACCTTTGAGAATCCATCTTTGTGTGTTAGCTTAAGTGAGTCAGTTAGATACGTTCCCACATCACCAGTTAGGAGGAAAAATTAGCTAACAGACGCAGCTAATATACAGCACTTGAGGGTTAGTTTAGTACAGTACAGTTACAGTACACTAAGGCAAAAGTTCACACCATGGTAGACACTGTACTCGACCACTTTCACATCCACAACTGTAACGCCAGGTACACATTGACACCTGAAGATTAGCCATTTGAAGCGAATTAAAGAAAACGGTTCCCTTCTCCCATGTTTACAACGGGTAACTAAGCTATACTCACTAAGCTATACTCATGCGCCCTCTGAGTATTCGTGAACCTAACGTGCGTATTTCTGGTGCGTCCAAGCGTATGGTACGTTCGTGTGTTTTGATCAAGTGCGTTCGTGTGTATCTCTGGTGCGTTCGTGTGTATTTCTGGTGCGTTTTTGCGTATATCATGTGCGTTCGTGCGTAGCTTTAATATCTCCGTGTGTATTAAATTCACTCGTGTGTTATGTCTTTGTTTACCAATTCAAGACCTAACCTAACCTAAAACACACACACACACACACAGGCCACACACACACACACACACACACACACACACACACACACACACGCACACACACACACACACACACACACACACACACACACACACACACACACACACACAAGGGCAGTATTCACTCTCTGGTTTAATTAGACCAAACCTTAAATCGCCGACAATATGGTTTAAGGATCAATAGAGGTGTAATTAATGGCGTTTACTTCTGCCACTAACTACCCAATTAGCCTGGGGTGAGAGGTAGTTGATGTGTGTGTGTGGGGTGTGTGTGTGTGGGGGGGTGTGTGTGGGGGGGGTGGTGTGTGTGGGGGGTGTGTGTGTGTGGGGAAGAGTGTGGGTGGGGGAGTGAGGGGGTGTGGAGGTGTGTGTGCGTGGGGGAGAGGCTGTTACTAAGAATATTATTAGGGGGAAGAGGTGTAGGGGGTTTTGGGGAGAATGTTTTTCGGGGGGGAACCTAACCTAACCTAACCTAACCTAACCTAACCTAACGTTCAATTTAATCAACATTTATTAAACGAAAAATTCTGTAAATAATAATTTCTCCCGCCAAAACCTGTCAAATTTTCCCCGCCAAATCCTGTCAACTTTTTCCCGCCAAATCCTGTCAACTTTTTCCAGCCAAATCGTTCAATCTTTTCCCGCCAAATAAAACAAACTTTCACACAACAAAGGCGTCAAGTTTTCTTATCCAAAATACGTAAAATTATTTTCTCGTAGCAACATTTTATTCCTATAAAAAGTATTGAGAACTTCCCATTAGTATTTTTACCGCCAAAATATGAAAACTTTTACCCGCCAAAATATCAATACTTTTATCCGCCAAAAGTATAAGAAGTCTAACTGCTTAAAATTGGATTATTTGGCCACAATCGTCACATAATTCCCGCCAAAAGTGTTAAGGATAATTGCGCGCAAAAAAAGTCAAAATTAGGCCCCATTTTTTTGGCAAAGACTTGGCCAATATAATTTTCCTTATCTTTAGTTAATCGTCATAATAATTCCCGCCAAAAATTTAATGATTTCCCACCAAAAATATCAATATCATTACTCGTGACATTTTCCGAAATAAAATATAAATCTAGCTTTTATTGTCTATTCTTTTTATTTAAACGCCACACATTCTTGCTACCCTAACAGAAAAAAAAGATTTTCCCTGGTAAAAGTGTCCAATCTGTCACCTAAAACACCACATTCATTCCCGCCAAAAACAGTGAATACTTTCGCGCCAAAACTCGTTCCAAAATCTTTTCCCGCCAAAATACTGAATATTTACGCGCCAAAACTCCTATTCCAAAATATATTCCCGCCAAAACAATGACAATTTTCGCGTCAAACCGTCAAACAGGAATTGGCGGGCAAATACCTGAGAAGCGTTCCGGCGGCAAGTGTCCAATCCACCGATGTGGCTAAAATGCAACGTCAAGCCGCAGGAAATGTGGAAAAACTACCCCCATATTTTGAGGCCGATTTCTGATGATTTCAATAATGGAGTTGAACTGAGGACGATACGGCGAGTGGTGTTGATAAGTGGGCGTGTTTATGAGAGAGAGAGAGAGAGAGAGAGAGAGAGAGAGAGAGAGAGAGAGAGAGAGTCCAATTTCTCTCTCTCTAGGGGTAAATTTATTGTACTCAACGATTTCATATGGTACTCTAGGGGTCAAGTCATCATACTCAAGGGGTTAAGTTCATCATACTCAAGGGGTTAAGTCATCATACTCAAGGGGTTAAGTTCATCATACTCAAGGAATTAAGTCATCATACTCAAGGGGTCAAGTCATCATACTCAAAGGGTCAAGTCATCATACTCAAAAGGGTTAAGTCATCATACTCAATATTCACCTAAATTTGCCGTCTTAATGAACTTCAGCACTGCAATACCATCTAGGTTAGGTTAGGTTAGGTGAACTCTTACAGGAAGTCACCTAGAGTAGTCTCCTACTTATTCCACAGTCACCTAGCATCACCTAACGATTCACAACAGAGTTGTATTTCTAATCATAACATAACCTAACCGACTGTCACCAAAAATCGCCTTGAGGTCAATTAGGGTTCAAACTACCTTAAACTCACCTAAAACTATCATAAGTTGAAACTAAACACCTAAATTCACCTTAAACTACCCAAAGACCAATTAGATCACGCTTCATTTAAAGAAACTCTCACTTAAAACCACCCCGTAGTTAAATTAATCCACACAAAAGCGGCCAATCAGACGACACGAGCCTTGAAATCATCACCACTTCCTAACTTGCCCAAGAACGAACAAAAAACGGGTTAAAATCTCTCCAGACCAGCAGTGTAGGGGGTGGGGGTGCCCAGTCCCTGTGAAAACTTCTCTCTTCCACGACACGAAGTAATTTTCACATGTTTGAAGATCCTCGTTCATGGATTTCTTTATTCCGACCGTAAAAGTTTATTTCTGGTCATTATTATTATTTTTGTTATTATTATTATTATTATCATTATTATTTTCATGTTCCATTTATTAATTCTCTCTCTCTCTCTCTCTCTTAAAATCCTCTATTATCCATGTTTTACTTCTTTCATATTCTGTTACATACATACATACATACATACAGACATATATATATTTTCAATTAATAACGTGAGTAAAAGTATTGAAAAGAAAGCGTTGATAATTGGGTGGAGAGAGAGAGAGAGAGAGATTATCTGTCGAGATTTCGGAAATAGAGAAAGAAGTTTAACTCGTGTTCCCTCCCTCCCTCCCTCACCTTCCCCTCCTTCCTCCTTCCTTCCCTCCCTCCTCCCTCCTCCCTCCCTCACTCCCCTCTAATATAATTCACACACAATTTTCTACCCAAACAATTACAAACAACAACTTAAAACAGACAGACAGACAGACAGAGAGACAGACAGACACACACACAGACAGACAGACACAGACAACCCCACATTCTGACCAATTAAGTGACAAACAGACAGACAGACCATCACCAGGTAAATACAGGTAAGATAATTAAAGGTACTCACCTTGCTGGGATCAACAGGACAGTCGCTCAAGTGGACAACAGATCCTGGGTGAGTCTTGCGAGACCTGTGGGGGACAACAACAACAACTGTAATAATAACAACAACAACAACTGTAATAATAATAATAATAATAATAACAATAATAATAACAATAACAATAATAATAATAATAATAATAATAATAATAATAATAATATATGGGTACATTTACTACCACTACCACCACTACCACTACTTACCACACACACATCACTACCACCACCACACACCACCTACCACCACCACACACCACACCACTATCACCACCAACACCACACACGCAATCTCCATCTAAATATACAATTCCTACGGCCATTTAAAGCAAAGTTTCTCCTCAAAAGCAAATTAGTTCTTTATGAATCCTAACGCAGATATAATGACCTTTATTGTCGTCATTAGTAACAAGTTAAAGGCACAGAGGTGAGCCTAACTTGCATCCTAATGAACAATTAAAAATATTGGTGGTTAATTTGGTTATGTCTGGCAGCGAGAACTGATTTAGTCAGCTTCTGCGCATGCGTGAGTGGTTCGGTTTGTTTACGTTTGGTTTCGCGCGCTTTTTATTATTTATTTTATGGAGAGTCAATCACAGTAGACAGTGATGAAGTGTCACCCGTCCTGACAGAATACAAACAATAGACAAATTGCTGTCAATACAAAGTCATTCATCCCGAGGGAGTGACAGCTTTCCCGAAAACCCGACAGAATCCTGCATCAACCCGACAGACAGTCAAACAGATACACATACGTTCTCACATCACCAGTTAGGAGGAAAACTTAACGTAGGAACCTTTGAAATCTTACATCTTTGTGTGGTAGCTTAAGTGAGTCAGTTGAATACGTTCTTACATCACCAGTTAGGAGGAAAGAAACTTAACAGGAACGCTGAGAATCCCATCTTTGTGTGGTAGCTTAAGTGAGTCAGTTAGATACGTTCTCACATCACCCGTTAGGGAGGAAAGAAAACTTAACGTAGGAACCTTTGAATCCATCTGTGTGTGGTAGCTTAAGTGGAGTCAGTTAGATACGTTCTCACATCACCAGTTAGGAAAACTTAACGTAGGAACCTTTGAGAATCCATCTGTGTGTGTGGTAGCTTAAGTGAGTCAGTTAGATACGTTCTCACATCACCAGTTAGGAGGAAAAACAACGTGGAACCTTTGAGAATCCCATCTTTGTGTGGTAGCTTAAGTAGATCAGTTAGATACGTTCTCACATCACCAGTTAGGGAAAACTTAACATGGAACCTTTGAGAATCCATCTGTATTATGGTAGCTTAAGTGGAGTCAGTTAGATACGTTCTCACATCACCAGTTGGGAGAAAACTTAACATGGAACCTTTGAGAATCCATCTGTGTGTGTTAGCTTAAGTGAGTCAGTTGAATACGTTCTCACATCACCAGTTAGGAGAAGAAAACTTAACGTAGGAACCTTTGAGAATCCATCTGTGTGTGGTAAGCAAGTGAAGTCCAGTTAGATACGTTCTCACATCACCAGTTAGGAGAAAACTTAACATCAGGAACCTTTGAAATCCATCTTGTGGTAGCTTAAAGTGGAGAATCCAGTTAGATACGTTCTCACATCACCAGTTAGGAGAAAACTTAACGTAGGAACCTTTTGAGAATCCATCTGTGTGTGGTAGCAAGTGAAGGTCAGTTAGATGCGTTCTCCATCTCACCAGTTAGGAGAGAAAACTTAGCGTGAGGAACCTTTGAGAATCATCTGTGTGTGTTAAGCAGTGGAGTCAGTTAGATACGTTCTCCATGACCAGTTAGGAGGAAAACTCAGCATGGGAACCTTTGAGAAGATCCATCTCTGTGTGTGGTAGCTTAAGTGAGTCAGTTAGAATGCGTTTCTCCCACATCACCAGTTAGGAGGAAAGAAACTTAACGTAGGAACCTTTGAGAATCCATCTGTGTTGGCTTAAGTGAGTCAGTTAGATACGTTCTCACATCACCAGTTAGGAGAAAACTTAACGTAAAGACCTTTGAGAATCCATCTGTGTGTGGTAGCAAGTGAGTCAATTTAGATACGTTCTCACATCACCAGTTAGGAGAAAACTTAACGTAGGAACAGCGAAATCCCATCTGTGTTAGTATTTAAGCAAGTGAGTCAGTTAGATGCGTTCTCCACATCACCAGTTAGGAGGAAAACTTAACGCCGGAACCTTTGAAATCCATCTGTGTGTGGTAACCCAAAGTGAGGAGTCAGTTAGATACGTTCTCCACATCACCAGTTAGGAGAAAAACTTAACGTAGGAACCTTTGAGAATCCATCACGTATTAATGTTAGCTTAAAGTGGAGTCAATTGAATGCGTTCTCATCACCAGTTAAGGAAGAGGAAAAACTTAACGTAAGACCTTTGAGAATCCATCTGTGTGTGGTAGCTTAGTGAGTCAGTTAGATACGTTCTCACATCACCAGTTAGGAGAAAGAAAACTTAACATCGGAACCTTTGAAGTCATCTTTGTGTGGTACAGCAAGTGAGTCAGTTAGATACGTTCTCACATCACCAGTTAGGAGAAGAAAACCTAACGTAGGAACCTTTGAGAATCCATCTTTGTGTGGTAACCAAAGTGAGTCAGTTAGATACGTTCTCACATCACCAGTTAGGAGGAAAACTTAACGTAGGAACAGCGAGAATCCGTATCTTTATTAATGGAAGCTTAGAGTAAGGTCAGTTAGATACGTTCTCCATCACCAGTTAGGAGAAAACTTAACGTAGGAACCCTTTGAGAATCCATCTTTGTGTGGTAGCTTAAGTGGAGTCAGTTAGATACGTTCTCCACATCACCCAGTTAGGAGAAAACTTAGCATAGGAACCTTTGAGAATCCATCTTTGTGTGGTAACCCAAAGTGAGTCAGTTAGATACGTTCTCACATCACCAGTTAGGAGGAAAACTTAACGTAGAACCTTTGAGAATCCATCTTTTGTGTGTGGTAGCAAGTGAGTCAGTTAGATACATTCTCACATCACCAGTTAGGAGGAGAAAACTTAACGTAAGACATTTGAGAATCCATCTTTGTGTGGTAAGCAAAGTGAGTCAGTTAGATACGTTCTCACATCACCAGTTAGGGAGGAAAACTTAACGTGGAACCTTTGAGAATCCATCTTTGTGTGGTAAGCAAGTAGGTCAGTTAGATACGTTCTCCACATCACCCGTTAGGAGGAAAACTTAACGTAAAGGAACCTTTGAGAATCCATCTTTGTGTAGTAGCTTAGTGAGTCAGTTAGATACGTTCTCATCACCAGTTAGGAGAGAAAACTTAACGTAGGAACCTTTGAACCTTTGAGAATCCATCTTTGTGTGGTAGCAAGTGAGTCAGTTAGATACGTTCTCACATCACACGTTAGGAGGAAAACTTAACGTGGAACCTTTGAGAATCCATCTTTGTGTGGCTTAAAGTGAGTCAGTTAGATACAGTGTGTGTGAACAGAATTTTCTCTCTCTCTCTCTCTCTCTCTCTCTCTCTCTCTCTACTAAGGATCACTGGTTCGATCCCGGGGCCCCCATAGTCAATCCAAGTGTGAATGGGTACCTTATGTTATAGTTGAGTAAGTGAAGGTGTTAGGTTAGGTTTAGTTAGGTGATAGGAAGAGAGAGGAGATGTGTGTGTGTGTGTGTGTGTGTGTGTGTGTGTGTGTGTGTGTGTGTGTGTGTGTGTGTATGTGTGTTTGAGGCGTTCATAATCGTGTTATTCTTTGAACTAGTTCACACGCGTTTCCGAGAGAGAGAAAAAGAGAGAGAGATTCTGTCACACACACTACAGGTGAGTCAGGTCATTTGTGCCATTAGTATATTAACACACAGGTAAGTTCTATCCATTACCTGTTAATTAACTTCACAGGTGTGTTAAATTCCTAAAGTCACGTGTTAAATTATCAGTCATGTTCAGTAGTCAGTCATATTAAATTGTCAGTCATGTTAAACTGCCATATGAAATGGGTATTCAAATCTCTCTCTCTCTCTCTCTCTCTCTCTCTCTCTCTCTCTCTCTCTCTCTCTCCTGTATTGATCTCTGGCTGTAGACAAGTGAAATTAAGTTACTCTCACCAGTGTTACAGACAGACAGACAGACAGACAGACAGACAGACAGACGGACAGACAGACAGAAACATACAGACAGAAACATAGACAGAAACATACAGACAGACAGACAGAAACATAGAGACAGGCAGACACAGACAGACAGACAGACAGAGACAGACAGACAGACAAAACGAACAGACAGGCAGACACAGACGAACCAGACAAAACAGACAGACAGGCAGACACAGACAGACAGACAGACAGAGACAGACAGACAGACAGAAACAGACAGACAGAAACAGACAGACAGACACAGACAGAAACAGACAGACAGACAGACAGACAGACAGACAGAAACAGACGGACAGAAACAGACAGACAGAAACAGACAGACAGAAACAGACAAACAGACAGAAACAGACAGACAGACAGACAGACAGACATAAACATAGAGACAGAAACATAGACAGACAGACAGAAACAGACAGACAGACAGACAGAAACAGACACACAGACAGACAGACGGACAGACGGACGAACGAAACACACGGACAGACAGACAGACAGAAACATACAGACAGACAGACGAAAAAGAACAGACAACAGACAGACAGACAGACGGAGAACATAAACATACAGACAGACAGACAGACAGAAACAGACAGACAGACAGACAGACAGACAGACAGACGGACAGACATAAACATACAGACAGACGACAGACAGACAACAAAGAAACGACGACACAGACAGACAGAAACGAACAGACAGACAGACAGACAGACGGACGAACAGAAACATACAGACAGACAGACGGACGAAACATACAGACAGAAACATACAGACAGACAGACAGACAGAAACAGACAGACACACAGAAAGAAACATACAGACAGACAGACAGACAGACAGACAGACAGACAGACAGACGGACAAAAAGAAACATACAGACAGACAGACAGACAGAAACAGACAGACAGACAGACAGAAACAT